CTCTGCCTCCCGGGTTCAAGCAATCTCATGCCCACTTCCAAGTAGCGGGATTATAAGGGCACCGCACCACGCCAGCTAATTTTGTATTTTTTAGTAGAGACGGGGTTTCAACATCTTGGCCAGGCTGGTCTTGAACTCCTGACCTTGTGATCCACCCGTCTCAGCCTCCCACAGTGCTGGGATTACAGGCGTGAGCCACCATGCCCGGCTGCCTCAGGGCCTTTTTGCAACTCCAGATGTGGGAGATGACAAAACCACGATGCGGAGAGGGGAAAGGGTGGAAACAATTGATTTGAAAAGGAGTAAGGAAAGTGAGTGGCTAGTTAAAATATCAGTATTTGGACACTGCTGAACAGACGTTGGTGGGCCCAGCAGCCTGGGTGCTGTACGGCGGCCGCTGAGCAGTAGGACATGCTCTCCATCACGCATCACCTTCCTTCGGGTTTACTCAGCAACCCGGCTGACCGCGCCCCTGGAGCCACACGCCTGAGCATCTAGGGATTTCCTAAAGGGGCCTGAGGTCTGTCACCTGGACACGCGACTGGAGAGACGGAGCGACCCTCTCAGATGACTTACGGTTGGGAGAGGAGAGATGTCTGAAGGGAAATACACCGAGTCTTTCGTAGCACCTCAGCGGAACTGACGGCTTCTGCCTTGTTCTTCAGGACAGATCCTCCCGGCCAAATCTGTTTAGTGTGCAAATGCAAACCTAGTCCTACTCTTTTCCTGATTCCATTTTTCCCTTTAATCCCATAGATAAAATCCAGCCCTGGGCCGGGCGTGGTGTCTCACGCCTGTAATCCCAGCACTTTGGGAGGCTGAGGCAAGCGGGTCACTTGAGGTCAGGCGCTTGAGACCAGCCTGGCAAACATGGTAAAACCCCGACTCTACTAAAAATACAAAACTTAGCTGGGCGTGGTGGTAGATGCCTGTTGTCCCAGCTACTGGGGAGGCTGAGAATGCACTTCTCCAATCCCCCTGCGGCCACCCCTCCTGGCGGTGCTGAGCGTTGCTGGCCACAGCCCTGAGGGACCACTCCCTCTGCTTTGACCTTGGCTGAAGTGGATGTTTGTCCCCAGGTTACGCCCCTTCCTGGGGCCGCGTCCACGAACTAGGACATGGAGGGGTGCTGATGCCTGGCCCCGTGGCTCCTCTCTCAAGGACCATCCAGCTGCAGGCCCCCCCACACAAGCCCTGCCATGCCTGCACGGAACTCGCCACTGCACAAGCTCCCCACAGCACATCCCCTGCTGAGTGGCCAGGGGTCGGCCCTGGGTGTCTGGCCCACAGCACAGCAGATGAGACCTTCCACTTGGGGCCCAGAACACCCAGGCTCACATCCTCTTCCTCGCTCGTGTACTGCCCTGTCCTGTCCTTCATACACAGCCAAACCCCCTCACCGTGGATCCCCGCGGGGTCTGATTTGTCTGACGTGAAGAGATGTTCTCTCGCCAGTAGGGGTGGAATACAGTTTGGGTTCCCTTGACCAATACATCAGGCAACTTTTGTCTACAAAAGAGAGCTAAGTGCACGTCATTTTAGTGAAGTTTATTCCCAGTTAAATTCACACAAGACTTCTGCTCTCCGGGAAATACGGCACAAAGGCTGAAGTCCCCTTACTGCCCCCGCTCCTGTGGAATGAACTCTCCTGATGGTGGAGTGTGTCCACTGTGAAAGCCGCCGCTACCATGGAGTTGGGGTGGCCCTGAAGTCCTCAGACACAGAGGCCTGTGACAGGACGCAGCCCAAGACGCCTGTGCGGAGACAGTTCCAGGACCCACAGGGCGCCCTCAGGGTTGCACTACTCCAGACAGACGCTTGACCAGCAATGACTGTCTTAACCCACGCACTAATTCCAGCTCCTGTAATAGACTCCTATAAAAGACCCTTGGCTCTGAAAACAGCTTATGTGGGCTTCTTTTTTGTTCTTATTTTTGTTGTTGTTGTTTTAAAGATGGAGTCTCGCTCTGTCTCCCAGGCTGGAGTGTAGTGGTGCAATCTTGGCTCACCACAACCTCCGCCTCCTGAGTTCAAGCAATTCTCTTGCCCCAGCCTCCCAAGTAGCTGGGATTACAGGCGCAAGCCACCCCACCCAGCTAATTTTTGTAGTTTTAGTAGTGACGGGGTTTCTCCATGTTGGCCAGGCTGGTCTTGAACTCCTGACCTCAGGTGATCCAGCTGCCTCGGCCTCCCAAAGTGCTGGGATTACAGGCGTGAGCCACTGCACCCAGCCCTTTTTGTTTTTAAGATTCCCCTTTTCCCCAACTCCCTTGGATATACCTATAGCCTGCCAAAGCTTGCCTACCCCGAATTGCAATTATCCACCATTCCCAAATAAACTCGCTTATTTGGAGAGCTTGTCTCTGAGTTTCTTTTTAGGTTGACACCACAAATACTTGTCCAACACCTGTGTAGGTTTGTGTGTAGGCACAAACCTGCGTGTGTGTGCTCCTCGTGTGGAGTCGTCCTGCACAGCCTGCATGTGCTTCTGTCATTCCGTCTGTGTGCACTCTTTCTAGCAACCTCATGCTGTCCCGTGAATGTGTCCTGCGGAAGGACACAGCCTGCAAGCCCAGCGTTTTGGTGTTGTGAATTCTGCCGCAGCAAACATCTTTGCTCTTACATCTGTGTGTGCACGTGCCTATATCCCTGCATTTGCGTCTGTGTGCACCTGGGCCTTGCCAGGCTCCTGGAGCTGCTGTAACACAGCACCCCAGACCAGGTGGCTACAGACAACAGAAACGAATTCTCTCCCAGTTCTGGGGCCCGATGTCCAAAACCAAGGCATCAGCAGGGCTGTGCTCCCTCTGTAACCTGTAGGGGAAGGATACGCCCTCGCTTCTTCCAGTTTTCAGTGTTGCCGGCAGTTCCTGGCAGTTCTTGGCATGTAGATCACTCCAATCTCTGCCTCTGTTGGCACACGCATTCTCCCTGTGTCTCTGTCTTCATGTGACCAGCTTCTCATAAGGACACCCGTTACATTGGATTAGGGCCTACCCTTGTGACCCCAGCTAATGACATCTGCAACAACCTTCTCCCCAAATACTGTCATGTTCTGAGGTACCGGGGGTTAGGGCTTGAACATATGTATTTCAGGGGACTCTGCAATCCACAGTGAAGGCACAGAATGGATTCCTAGAGGCTGATCTGCTGAGTCAGAGCAGGGCGGTTTTAGATTTAATAGCAGCAGCCAGCCAAAAAAAACCAGGAGCGTTCCACAGTCCCAGGCTCCGCAATGACACGAGTGCCCCCCACAGCCCCTTACTCTGGGTCTTCCTCATCCTGGCACTGCCGTGACTTGCCCCTCGCCGTTTCCTGGGCAGCATGGCTCTCTTCAGACATGCATCGGCGTTTGTACTTCTTTGGCGTTCAGGTCATTGGCCTGTGTTTTCCAGTTGGCTGTTGAGTCTTTTCTTACAGCTCCTTATAGAGTAATCCTTCGTCTGTTTTATTTGTTGTAAATACTTTTGCCAAGATTGTCATTTGCCTTCCAATTTACGGTGTAGTTTACCGTAAGTTTTTCACACTGATTTCCTGTCTTCACAGAAAATATTTTATGCCTCTGAGTTTTATTTATTTTATTTTATTTTATTTATTTTATTTTATTTTATTTTGAAACAAAGTCTCACTCTGTCACCCAGGCTGGAGTACAGTGGTGCGATCTTGGCTTACTGCAAACTCCACCTCCTGGGTTCAAGCGATTCTCCTGTTTTAGCCTCCCAATTACAGCTGGGATTACAGGCATGTGCCATCACGTCCAGCTAACATTTTTTTTTTTTTAAATAGAGATGGGGTTTTGCCATGTTGGCCAGGCTGGTCATGAACTCCTGGCCTCAAGTAATCCACCCTCCTTGGCCTCCCAAAGTGCTGGGATTACAGGTGCGAGCCATCACGCCTGGCTTTGGGTTTTCTTTTTTAAAAAATGCTTTCCACGTCCTCAAATTATTTCCAAATTTGCTTCCAATACTTAATGTTTTTACTTTTTAAAGAAGTTAACAGACTTTATATCTTTAGGGCAGTTTTAGGTTTACTGAAAAATTGATCAGAGTACAGAGATTCCATAATACCCCTTCATAGGCACTTTCCCCTATTATTATCATTATTTTGAGACGGAGTCTGACTCTGTCACCCAGGCTGGAGGGCAGTGGTGTGATCTTGGCTCACTGCAACCTCTGCCTTCGAGCAATTCTCCTGCCTCAGCCTCACGAGTAGCTGAGATTACAGGTGCCCGCCACCAGGCCAGGCTAATTTTTGTATTTTTAATAGAGACGGGGTTTCACCATGTTGGCCAGATTAGTCTTGAACTCCTAACCTCAGGTGATATGCCCGCCTCGGCCTCCTGAAGTGTTGGGATTACAGGCGTGAGCCACCGCACCCAGCCACTTTCCCCTATTATTAACATCTTGCCTTAGTGTGGCTCGTCTTCTGTGACTGACAGACAATATTGATATGTGACTTTTAACTAAAGCCCACGGTTCATATTAGGGCTTCACTCTTGGTGTTGTAGATCCCATGGTTCAGAAAAACCACGTTTGCACAATTGTAGTATTGTATGGGGTAGTTTTGCTGCCCTAAAAACGCTCCTTGCTTCACCTTTTCACCCCATCCTCCCCCAACCCCTGGCAACCACTCGTCCTTTCATTGTCCTCCCGTTTTGCCTTTTCCAGAATGTTGCAGTTGGAATCATACAGCCCGCTGCCTTTTCAGACCGGCTTCTCTCACTTAGCAATGTGCACTTAAGTTTTCTCTGTGTCTTTTTATGGCTTGACAGCTTGTTTCTTTTCAGTGCTGAATAATATTCCATTGTCTGGTTGGATCAGAGTTTATCCATTCACCTACTGAAGGACATCCTGGCTGCTTGAGTTTTGGCCATTATTAATAAAACGTCTCTAAACATCCATGTGTGGGATTTTTGTTTTTTGGAGATAGCGTCTTGCTCTGTTGCCCAGGCTGGAGTGTAGTGGCAGATCTCAGCTCACTGCAACCCCCGCCTCCCGGGTTCAAGCGATTCATGTGCCTCAGCCTCCCTATTCGCTGGGATTACAGGTGTGCACCATCACACCCGGCTAACTCCATGTGTGGGTTTTCATATGGACACAAATGTTCAGCTCCTTTGGGCGAATGCCAAGGAGTGCTATTGTGGATGGTATGGTGAGAGTACGTTTAGAACCTGCCAAACTGTCTTCCCCAGTGGCTGTGCCATTTTGCCTTCCCACCAGTAATGAATGGGAGCTCCTGTTGCTCCTCATCCTTGGGCCTTTGGTGGTGTCAGTGTCCTAGATTTATCCACTTACAGGTGTGTTTTACTTTAACGTTTGGATCTTTATTCACAAAGAACCAACCTTCAGACAGGCTGAGTGAGTGGGCTCCCTTTACTTTTTCCAGGGCCCAGCTGTCCCTCTCCTCAATACAGTTCTTGCCCCAGGGCCAGACACCCTTGCACCAAAAAGCGTCACACACAGGGACGCCCCAGCTACACAGACCCTAAGGTCAAGGTCCATGCAGGGAGGTGCACAGGGCCCTGCAAGCCAGGGAAGCTGCTCACCTCACAGCAGCTGCACCCACCTCCCTGCCCACCCGCCTGGGACACAGAGCCCCAGCGTTGGCAGCTCCTCGTGAGGGGACAGAGATGGCTCAGGTGGGCCCACCCTGGTCCCTGGGGGAACTGGGGGCACCCACTTGCGTCCAATTTCCAAGCTGCAAGGGAGCTCAGCGCCTGCTTTCCCCGAATGCTCTCTGGGACTCCGCGTCCCTGCCCTCAGCAAAGCCAAGGCTGAGCACCACAGGCCTGCTCAGAGGGAGGAGCCGGCCCGCGGGACAAGGAGCAAGGGAGGCCACCTCCAATCCGCAGAGCCGCAGCCGCCCCCACGCACCCCCGGAACCCACGCCGCCCCGACGCGAAGCGCGGCTCGCTCTAGCCGCGGGCACTCGCTGGTCGCGTCGTGGCCACAATGCAGCATGAGCGCCAGCTGGGCGGGCGTCCCACGCAGTCCAGAAGTCTGACCCTCCACGGATTGGCATTTTAATAACCGCCTGTACACATCCAGACGCGACAACTAAATGCCACACGTGAGCCTGGAAGATGGGGACAGCTACAGAAACACTTGGGACGGGTGACAAAACTGCGATGTGAGCGATGATGGGGATAATATTCCTCCACAGTAAACGTCCTGGTTCTGATCACTGCACTGCGGCATCGTAGGAGAACATCCTCTGTTCAGGAGATACGCACGAAAGTACTTCGCGGCTACGGGGCCAGCGTCTCCAACCGCATCTCAAACGGTTCCGAAGCAACGCGCACGCACAGCGATACACACGGACCAAATTCACGGGCAGCGTCAGCGGCCAGGCATTCGGATAAAGGGTCCATGGCCGTCCCTGTGCTGTTCTTGCAACTTTCTCTAAGTTGGAAAGTATACCCAAGTTTTTAAATTACTAAAAATCTCCCAATAGGTTGGACATAACCCAATAGGTTATTCTCCTCTTGGCGCGGAGAACAAAGCCCAGGTTCTTCCCCCGGGTCTCCCCGTGGCGGCCCCGCTGCCAGCTGCTGCTTTGCGCCTGTCCGCGCCCGCCGGTGCCCGGGCTTGCTTCTGAGCCTGCCGGCTCGCGGTGGGGCTCCGCTGCGGGCAGGGACGCGGGTCCCAGAGGGCATTCAGGGAAAGCAGGCGCTGACCTCCCTTGCAGCTTGGAAATTGGAAGCACGAATGAGCGGCCCGGTGCCGGCCGGAAATGCTAGCGCTTGCACATGGGTGTCAGAGCCGCCTGGGGGCCACGCCTTTATTAACCATTGCATTATCCCCCTAAGCGTCCTGCGCGCCAGGCTCGCCCACACCAGGGCTTCCCGGGCCTCCCTCCCTGCAGGTTCAGGCTCTCCCCGGGGAGGCTTCTGCCGCAGCCTCAGCATTCACGCTGTCCTCCGACTGTGGGGGGAGAAGGGCCGGATCCCGATCCCGGGACAGAGCAGAGGGAAGCTTGGGGCCAGACTTCGTGGAGCGGAGAGTGTCCTGTGAGGACACCCTCAATGAGGACCCCGAAGAGATCCGAGAGCCCTCGAGTGACTGCGCCAGCGACAGGGCCCGGAAGCCTGCGCGCGACGCGGTCAGGGACGGGATCCGGGATCGCACCTTTGAAGTGGCCAGCGATGGGACCCTGGAGTCCATGATTGATAGCACCATCGAGGGGACCCGGGAAGCCTCGCGCAACGGGACCACGGACGGGGCCCGGGAGGCCGCGCGCGACGAGACCACGGACGGGGTCTGGGAGGCCGCCCGCGACGGGCCTATGGGGGCGGCTAATGACCCGGGGCGCGAGATGGGCTGGGAGGAGGCCGGCGGCTCCCAGAGCGGCGGGCCTCCGGGGCCCCTGCGCAGCCAACCGTGCACACGCGCCAGGTCCCGCGTGTCCTCGTGCTCGCGGTGCAGCTGCTCGCGCTGTTCCAGCAGCTGGCGCCGCGTGTCGTGCAGCAGCTGGGTCCGGCGGAGCAGCTGCAGCAGCTCCTGCCGCAGGCGCCCGTTGTCCGCCTTGATGGCCTGCGTGTGCGCCACAAGCGCGCGCGCCGCCTCCCGCTCGGCGCGCCGTGCCAGGGACTGCACGCGCTGACGCGCCTCGCGCTCGAAGGCCGCCTTGTCCTCCAGGAAGCGCCCCTTCACGCGGTGGAGCAGCTGTGTGTGCTCCACGCGCATATGCAGAAGATCGCGCTCCAGCGCCCGGATCCGAGCCAGCTGCTCCAGTTGCAGCACCTGCGGCGTGGGCGCCGTCAGCTCACCCCGACCTAGCCCCGGGCCCGGCCGCCAGCCCCGCCCCGCCGCACCCCGGCCGCGGGCGCGCGCACTAGCCTTGTAGGGCTGCAGCTCCTGCACCTGCCGCGCCATCTGTGCCGCGCGTGCCTCCATCTCCAGCAGCTGCGCGCGTACCCCGTCCTCGCGCCCGTGGTAGAGCGAGGCCAGTTCCGCCCGCTGCCAGTGGATCTGCGCCAGGTCCACGCGGTTCTGCTCGTCCAGCCGGACGATGGCGTTGGCGCAGCGCTGCGCGCGGGCGCTCACGTAGCTGGCGTAGAGCCGGTTCTCCTCGCGCAGGCGCAGCGCCTCGCGGTCCAGGAAGGCGTTCTCCTGCAGCACCTGGTCCACGCGCTCCTCACAGGCGTCCAGCTGCTCCGAGAGCAGCGCGTGTTCGCGTTGCAGGTACTGCGCCCGCTCAGACAGCGGCTGCTCGGCACCCGCGGCCGCCGCACCGCCTGGCTGGCTCCCCGCGCTCGGCCCGCGCTTTTTCTTGGGCGCCATGGATTGGTGCCTGGACCACCAGGACTGGTGAGGGCAGCGACCCCGGCCCCTTCCCCAGCTTAGCCCTTCCTCTTACCCGGCCTAAATATTCGAGGCCCCAGGCCTAGAGGTGGGACGCGTCTCAGGGTCACGAGGCTTTCGGGGAGGCAGATCGGGGCTTTGGGTCTCGGGGGTCAGGGCAGCTTTGCCAACCTTCACTCGTGGCTCCCCCTGGACCTTGGCTGTCCGTCTCGGTGCGGCCAGCATTAGTAATGTTGCTGCTCGGCGGGCACGGTCTCTATGGAGACAGAACTTAGTCGTCCTCTCCCACCCCCACCCCGTTACTTGGGCGATGGCCGACTCCTTCATTCCGTACAACTCCCTCCTCCTAAGTCGCCCGCGACTGCTTGTGAATGCGCCCCAGAGACAGGGCCTGAGCTGACAAGACGGCTTCAGGCGGACTCCGGACATGCTTCTGAATCTCCCAAAGCCCAGCAGTGCCCTTGGCCTTCGGTTCAGCGATGGGCCTTCTCCCGGGCTGTCCTCCACTTGGAGAGGAGCTTTGCCACGTTCCCCCGCGCCCCATTTCCCAAGTGAAATCTCTGCGCTTCCCTGGAGCATTCGCCTCTTCAGGGACCCTTGCTTTCCTTGAGCATTTCGTGATTCCTTCGGTGAGGGCCCTGTGGGAATTGGGGTTCCTGAAGCATGGAGTCCACTGGGCGCCTGGAGAGCATTTCTCTCTGAAGTTGGTAAACCCGTGCATGCGGCGCCCGCTCAGCTCATCGGCGGCTCTGCAGCTGGGCAGCTTCCCTTCCCGTGTGCCCGGATGGCCGAGGGCATAGGGATCCAACAGGGACTGGCTTTTTCTCCTTTTCTGTTGACTTTGTGGACAGAACATCATTATTGAAACCATCCCTATAAACTTTATTAAATTAATCAGGGAAGAAGGGAGGAGAGAGGAAAACAAACCCAGCTTGCATTTCGCTCAGCGTTCATGGTGAGATCGGCCTGCCTCCCAACCCCTTCCTCAGAGCTGTTTGGTGCCTGTGGCCCCAGAATCACACAGACCCTGTCACAAGAGTAGAGGTCCCCATAACTGCTCTATAGGTAACAACTTAAACATTGTAAATGTGAAGTTTTCTATTGGATAGGTCCTGCACACGCATGAAAGGACTGACCCAGCTGGTCTGAAGCACCCCCACCAGGAGCTGATGCGCCAAAGAACGCAGGGTCCACATCCTGAGGACTTATCCCCTTTCCCTGGCCAATTGATGACCCCATTTTACAGTCCCTCACCCGCCACAATTCCCTTAAAAACCCCAGCCCAGAACTCAGGGACATGGATTTGAAGGTCCCCCCCGTCTCCTTGCTCAGTGCCCAGGGATCGGGACACTGTTTCTCTGCTGCAAACTCTGCTGTCTCGATGTATTGGTCGTTACTGCACAGCAAGCATCACAACCTGTTGGTCATGTAAGATCTGCCTCAGTCTAGACCAGCTGTCCCCAGCTCCCATTCTGTTAGATGCCTCAGGAACAATGTGTGTAGCAGCCTTCGACACACAACTTAAATTGACCCCTATTTTGTGTCTTGTTATCATAGAGTTGAGTTTCTGCCCAGTTTGTCCACACTTGCTGGGATATGGGCAGATTTGAGGATCTTTGACTTGTAGCTTTGTGAGGGACACAGTTTAGAAAACCATGTTTGCACAGAGGTTTGTGGTGGAGACTGGTGGCTCATGGACATGGCTGGGCTTGCTCTGATCAGCCAACCTGCCTGAAAGGTGCAGCAGGGCCTTTTAAAATTAGGAACACGATTGAGGCATTTTACCCCTTGTAAAAAAATGTATTTTAGGCTGGGGGCGGTAGCTCACGCCTGTAATCCCAGCACTTTGGGAGGCCGAGGCGGGCAGATCATAAGGTCAGAAAATCCAGACCATCCTTGCCAACATGGTGAAACTCCATCTCTACTAAAAATACAAAAAATTAGCTGGGGATGGTGGCGGGCACCTGTAGTCCCAGCTACTTGGGAGGCTGAGGCAGGAGAATGGCGTGAACCTGGGAGGTGGAGCTTGCAGTGAGCCGAGATCACACCACTGCACTCCAGCCTGGGTGACAAAGCGAGACTCTGTCTCAAAAAAAAAAAAATGTATTTTATAGCCAGGCGTGGTGACTCACACCTGTAATCCCAGCACTTTGGGAGGCCGAGGTGGATGTCTCACGAGGTCAAGAGCTCGAGACCAGCCTGACCAACATGGTGAAACCCCGTCTCTACTAAAAATAAAAAAAATTAACCAGGCGTGGTGGCGTGTGCCTGTAATCCCAGCTACTCGTGAGGCTGAGGCAGGAGAATTGCTTGAACCCTGGAGGCAGAGGTTGCAGTGAGCCGAGATTGTGCCACTGTATTTCAGCCTGGGTGACAGAGTGAGACTCTGTCTTGAAAAATATATATATATATTTTATAAGTAAAAATAAGAGGACACAAACTACCAAACAAGGCAGTCTGTAATAGGACATTGTTATAAACTCCTAAACTGCATCTGAATGTTGGCTTTAATATATGGGCTTTTAATATGAAAATGGTGCCTCTCCTTTCACAGAAAATTGAGAAAAGACCACACAGAATCATGAGAAAAACATGAGCCTCCATCCCTGCATCCCTGCAGCAGGGACTCATCTGCCGTGGGGGACAGGCTCATGTATAGGGGCCCTTAATGCCCAGTGTTGCCTCTTCTGGTTTCTTGCCATGGCCCCACCCCAGTGCTCTCCACCCCGCTACCCTCAGGCCTTGTGTGAGGTCACTGTCCCCATTTGACAGATTGAGAAACTGAGGCAACAATAGGAAGAGGTCTGCTCACATGGGCCAATCAAGTCCCCCACAGTCTCAGACCCCGTACCACCCCAGGCCACACCACGTCCCGGCTCTGGACTGCTCTTTCCCTGCCCCCATCCCCACTGCACCTGCACGTCTGCACCTGCACGTCTGCACCTGCACGTCTGCCACTGGAGGGTCTGGGTTGCTCTTTGCCTTTAAATCCCTGGTGAGGTAAGGTTTTTAAGTTTTAAGTTATCCCTGCCTGTGGCTTTCTTGATTTTTCTTTGCTTTAAATCTCACCAATGCCTCCTCACGGAGAGGTCTGGGAGCCTTCTGCTCTCCTCTGTCTGGGCATCTTGGAGGCTTCCTTCTTCCCACTTCTGCAACCCCTGCCCCACCCACCAACTCCATGGAATAGTTGGGGGAGCCCTGACCCCAGCCCTAGTATAGTCCAGACACCCCTGTCCCTGTGACCACACCCCTGCCGCCCCAGACCTCTGCCCAGCCCAGCACGTTAACCTCTGCCCTGACCTAGGTTTGGCCACCAGCTGCCCAGCTGCGCCTCTGACCTGTGGGGATGAGGGGCAGGAGGAGACCTTGTTTCTTCTGGGGGGGCCGCGCTGCATGGGGCGATTCTTCGCGGGGAAGTGGGGGGAGTCTGGTCTTGGGGACGGGCTCAAATGCCTCCTCAGGACTCACCAGGCTTTTCTCTCACTGCGTTAGCAAGGCAGGCGGTCTCTGGGGTTCACCAGGTCCTGCACCGCCCATGGAGACAGAACTCACTTCCTGTGACACATCTCCCACCCTCGGGGGTCTTCCTGGCCCCTCCGCAAGTGGCATGGTCCCCCCAGGACCTGCAATCACACCCCCCTCAGACATAGCCTGGCAAACAGGAAAGGCCCTGGGAGGAGGGCGCCGTCTGCTCCCTGTGAGGCCCTCCCCGTCCACAGCTGGGCCAGCCTCCCTCCTTTCACCACCTGCCCCACCGACCCGAAGCCGGGCCAGCTTCCCTCCTCCCCACCCACAGCCTGGCCAGCCTCCCTCCTCCCCACCCTCACCACAGCTAGGTCGGCCTCCCTTCCTGACCACCCTGCCGCCCTAGCAGCCAGGCCAGCCTCCCTCCCCCACACATCCAGGCAAGCCTCCCTCCTGCCCCCAAGCCCCTTAGGCTGGGCCCTGCTGGGGACCCTGAAGGCTGCAGCACAGGGTCGCCTTGGGTTTGCTCCTGGGGCTCGTGGGCTCCCACAGGCTCCCCGGGTGTCCCCCGCCCTCCGTGCCCCTGTCTTTCTGCCCCTGCTGCTTTGCATGTCCTGCCTGATTCATCTCCTGAGACTGGGGTGAGCCCTGCACTGAGTGTAGCCACGGCGGTGGGGCTGTGTACTTGGCACACTGAGCGTAGCCCTCCAAGCAGCCTCTTTTCCCATTTCACAGATGGAGAAACCGAGGCAAGGTGAGTTGTCCAAAGCCCCCTGGAAATGCTGGGGCTGTGATTTGGACCTGTGAGGGGTTCTTCCCACTTCTCTGCACTCCCTCTGGTGGGGTGCCCTCCCCCAAGCTGCTCTGTGCCCTGGGATCAGGACATGGCCAGTGCTGCAACCCTTCCATGCGCCAAGGCTGCCCACCCACCTGGCAAGGCCAGCTCCACCTGTGGAGTTGAGGGTGGGCTGAGCCCACATGGGAGCCCAGGACCCAAGGAGTAGCTCCACTCTGTTCACCTTGTCCCTTGTGCAGCAGCTCAGAGCTGGTGCTGACGGCCAAGAGGGCAAAGGGGATGACGGGCAGGACCACAAGGGAGGCCCAGCGGAGCTGCCCACCCTGTGTATCCTCTGGTTGGGGTCAGGCGCTGGGGCCCCAGTCCTGTTTGTTTCGGCGCCCTGGGCCCAACCTGAACCTGTCCTCTGCCCCATATCCCTGGCAGGCCTCCCCGAACCCCCACCCACTGGGGCTGGCTTAGGCAAGGGTGTTTGAGACAAAGACCCTGCCCCCATGGCCAGGTACCTGAGAACCCATGCCAGATCCACATAAGGCTCTTGGTCAGCCCCAGATGGAAGCTCCAGTCCCAGGCCGGGACATGCATCAGCTCCCACACCCACGGTTGTCCCAGAGAAAGCGCTCTGCCCTCCCCCTGTCCACACCACGAGGGCCATGGCTGCACTGCCGCACCTCTGCAGGTATGAGCACGAGGCCCCAGCCAGCAGGCCCTGACCAGGTCATTCCTGATCATCCATAACCAGGGCAGTGGGGGACTGGGGTGTGGTCCAGGTGGGCCTGCATGGGGCCCCTTCAGAGTCATCTACCTCTGTGAGGAAGAGGATGGTCAAAGGAGGGTGTCCAGGGTCCAGAGCCCCTACACAGGCTTCAATGATGACACCTGCACCCAGCTCCAGAGACATCCCTGAGAGGCAGCCATCAGGGTGCCCAGCTAAAGACACGCCTCCTTGGGGCCCTCATTTCTGAGTCCATGCCTCCAGATGCATGATCTCAGAGAAAACCACATCCGAAACTGGCGTGTGTCCCCACCGGAGGGGCTCAGAGAAATGACTGGAGTGACCAGGGGGGCTGGGCCTGGGGTACCTAGGTCTATAGCCTACACTGGAGAAGGAGAGAGGGGAGGCTTGGGGTACCCAGGTCTATAGCCAATATCTGGAGCAGGAGAGAGGAGAGACCTGGGGTACCTGGGTCTATAGCCCAGGCCCAGAGCAGGAGAGAGGAGAGATCTGGGGTACCTGAGTCTGTAGCCCACACCCAGAGCAGGAGAGAGGGGAGAGCTGGGGTACCTGTACCTGTACCTCAGGTACAGTATCTGAGTCTGTAGCCCACACCTGGAGCAGGAGAGAGGAGAGGGCCATTTGAGCAGGAGAGAGGAGAGGGCCATTTGAGCGGGAGAGAGGAGAGGGCCATTTGAGCGGGAGAGAGGAGAGGGCCATTTGAGCGGGAGAGAGGAGAGGGCCATATGAGCGGAGAGAGGAGAGGGCCATTTGAGCGGGAGAGAGGAGAGGGCCATTTGAGCGGGAGAGAGGAGAGGGCCATTTGAGCGGGAGAGAGGAGAGGGCCATTTTGGAGTCCACCAGGTAGCCCCAGTAGGACAGGGAGAGGCTGTGTATGAGATGGGATGGGTAGTGGGCCATGGCTGTGACATAGGAGGGGTCAGGGTGGTGATACCTTCTCAGACTGTGACACTCAGAGGCAAGGTAGGATCTCAGCCCACACAATGGCACACGGATGGTGCCCTTATGGGAGAGGGCGGGGGCCGTGCATGGGGACTGTCACAGTTTGGGAGGTGGGGGCCGGGGGAGTTTGGTTTCCTGGGTTACGGAATGCTGAGTGTGTGTGAAGTAAGA